AGCTTGAATTTGCATATGAGTAATTGGTGGTCTGTTCCACAATCAGCCCCCGGCCTAGTTTTCACAGCTGATATTGAGCTTCTCCAGTGGTTCCTTCCACAGATGTAGTCGATCAGACACAATTTACGAAGGGGGCCAGGGGACTCCTCAAGAAGGAGTATATATAGATTGCCTTTAGCCCTTAGTATTTACTAGCCTTTTCAAAGAGCAAGTTAAGACAAACTACTTTGTTTTTTAGTTCCTGAGCAAGCACCATAGCTCCGAGAACTTGTCACTCTACCATATCCGGGAGCAAGCACTGCAGTTCTAGGGACTTGTTTATCACACCACCATATCCACGAATATTGTGTGTCAAGATAATCATTTGGTCACATCAGTTCTTCAGTTTACTGAGTTTCTGCAAATTACGTTTAAGTGCCATCTTCACATGATTGTGGCACAAGTCTAAATCTTGGCATACAAGTTCCCTTCATGGTGGTCTCCAATAGGGTGAGGATCAACAGGACTAGGATCAGAGTCATGAAGCATCCAGGCATTCTCCTTAGTTCACATCAGCTCTTCCTACCAGTGCTGAGGACAGGCTCCTTTGGGCCCCTTGGCATAGGTCTGTTTTAGCAACCTTTGACTTTAATGCTAGGGCAAGTATTATAAAGCTCTTTAAGCACTATTAAAAACCCAGAGACACCTCTATCCGTCTGCAAGCCTTCTCCCTGAAGGTGCTCAGTTCTTTCCTCCCATGGGTTGGCATGCCCACTATAGCCGCTTTACTCTGCAGTGTGCTGTCTCTGTCTTCATTCGGCAGCTGGATTCTTTGTGGCTGGATTCTGCTGTGTTTACCGGTGCTTATCATTCCTATGCTGTAACTTTCTCAGTCTCCTGAGTTTACTAGGTGGTTCTCAGTGCAGAGACTCAGGGTTCAAAGAAAACACTCTGCTTCCAGCTTTTCTTCTTAGTGACAGTGAGGTCCCCTCTTGCTTCTGGGATTAGCTCTTTCTAAGGTTAGTTTTTTGTTTTTACCGTTGAGTCAGAACAGACACATAGCAGACCGTCTGGTGGGTTTTCAGAGGCAGTTAATCGCACGGGGCAGTTTGCCCATCTTTGTCCGGCAGAGCATCTGGTGGCCTCAAACAGCGTGCTTTAGGGATTGTCTTCTTGCCACCAGAGCTCCTGAGTAGGGCTGCAAAACTCACCAATCCCTTTGCCACTGGAACTATCTGATTACCCTCATAACTAAATTCTAACCTCATGTCTGTTGAGTCAGAACCAGCTCATGGCTGACCCTCAAGTGGCTATAAATCACACGGCATGAGCTATGTTCTCCCGCAGAACCACTGGTGGATTTGAACTGCTTACTTTGGGGTTGGTAGTGATGTTTTATCCATTAGGCCACCAGAACTCTTATGCCAAATTTAGAATATCTAGTACTTAATAACAAAACCCACTGCTGTCAAGAGAATACTGACTCATTGCTCATATGTTATAGAGGGTTTTCTAGGTATTGGTGTCATAACAGAAAGGTCAGTGGTTCAAATTCACCAGCTAATTGTCAGGACAAAGAAAAGGAATGTCCTCTCATAAAGATTACAGCCTGTGAAACCCAATGTAGGGTTGTCATATGGCAGTGGGTTTGGGCAGACTTTACTAAAGCAGACTGCCAGTAGGTTGGTACACCAAAACACCAAATTCACTACAGAGCAGTCAATTCTGATTCATAGCATCCTCCATCAGTCTCAAGGCTGTAAATCTTAATGGAAGGAGACAGCTCATCTTTCTCCTGCAGAGCCACTGCTGGATTCAAACCACCAGAAAACCATAGAATTCTGGTTAGTAATGCAACACTCTACGGACTTCCCACCAGAGGTCCTTGAGAGCAAACTCTTTGTATCACCCAGTGACCTTTAGTACATGCTATTGGGTGTGTCAAGCCAGGTTTCTATACTAATATATATACAAAATAATGAGACACTGCCTGGTCCTAACTGATATGGTTGAGCTCATTATTGCAGACACAGTGTCAGTCCACATTGTCTTGAGGGTGGTCCTCTTTTTCATTAACCCTCCACTTTATTAAGATTGATATCCTTCCCCAGAGACTGGCCCTCTCCTGCTAACATGTCCAAACTGTGTGAGACAAAATTTCACCATCTCCAAGCCAAATTTGTTCATTCTTCTAGTAATCCATGATATATTCATTATTCTTCACCAACAGCATGATTCAAATGATCTTGAGGAGTCTTCCTTTCTGTTAGATTTTGCACGCATGTGAGGCAACTTCAGTTGTAGAGGTGCACTGTAGTGTATTATTGCATTATTGTATATGGCCCTTCCAGCAATGCACGCTCTTGTGACTCCCTCAAGATGATTGGGTAGAATTATACAAATAAGGTACTTATACCCAACTAATGGGATTACAGAGCTCTGGTGGCCTAATGGCAAGAAGCTGCGCTGCAGTCCTGAAGGAACCTGGTTTGAACCCTCGAGCTGGAGGATGGGCAGTTTCCTCTCGTGATTAACAGCCTCTGAAAACCCCTCGAGGGTCAGCTATGGGTTGGTTCCTACTATAAAGTACACACCACCACAACACAATGGGATTGTACAGCCTACTAATAACGCAGACAATATGCATGGAACCCTTGTGGTGGCGGAACCCTAAGGCTACAACACCTTTTTAATCAGAGGCTCCAGGAAGAAGGTTGAGCAGTCTCCTCCCATTGCAATTTACAGCCTTAGAAACCTATGAGTCAGAATCGACTCATCGTTGGTTTATGAGTGAGTGATGTTCTTTCTTCGTGGTATTCAGGCTCTTCTTTCTCTGCTTAGTAAAAGGCTTGTGATAAAGGGCTAAAGTAACAAATTAACAAAGCCTTTTTTCTGATCAACAGAGCTCAAACTCTACAAAAGTGAAGCGCCCACCCCTAGCTACTCGGTTACGTTACCGCTACGTTTCCTGTCAAACACCACCACTAGTATCTCGCGAGAGTCACGGGCTCCGCCCACCTCGCCTGGACACGCGCGCCGCGTTCCATCCCGAATGGCTTGAAGGTTTTCCATCAGTTTCTGAGGATTAGAGTTTTAACAAGACAGTTCTTTGCTTTCATCCACCCGGAATCTCGCGAGACTTGCGAGTCCGCTCCCCACCCCACCCCCACCTGCGACTCCACGCTTGCGCATTCTCTTCAAAGCGGAAGGTCGCGCTCGGAGGAAGTGAAGCTTTTGCGTCCTGTGGCTTTGGTGCCGTTAGTACTTCGCTGAAGCAACACTCGGCTGTTTGCCGAGACACTTCGCCGCCAAGATGCCTCGAATTATGATCAAAGGGGGCGTGTGGAGGAACACCGAGGTTAGTCTCCTTTTCCCGCCGTCCGCTGCCCTCCGCTCCCCCTGGCAGCTTTTGCGCACGCGCGCGGACAGATCGGGGCGACTTGGGGGGGGAATACCCAGCGGGGTTTGCACCTTTCCCGTGTGCAGGGTCCCCTTGTTTGCTGAGCGCCTCACGGAGTGTGATTAAACCAACCGGATAGCGTGCCAGAACTACTGTCAGGGACTTTTTAGGCCTTCATTGAAGGGTTTCTGAATTAAGAGTCCCGACCCCTGCGCCCTGCGCCCCTCGCCTCGCTCTGATGGAACTCTCGGTGGTGGTGGTGCTGGTCGTTGGGGGACTCCCTCATTGGGCCTGAGCACCCGGCCCTTTTCTCTGGAAGGACGATAAAAATAGTGACTGTGGCCGCAACTTTAGCTCTTCGTTGACTTCGTGGCTGAAAGGGAAGCTGGCGTGAGTGCCAGGTGTAAGGATCTTGCGACAGATCCCCAGAACGATCCAGTCCTCTTAACTGCCCTGTCAATCGCGTGTTAGTCTGTATTGAAGTTAGATAGTCCGGAGCAGTTAGAACGAGAATAATGGCATTGGCCAGCTAAAGTCCAGTTGTAGGGTGCAGCGTCGCTGCAGCGTCGCCTTGGACAGTAACGACTCTCTGTGAACAACAGAACGATAAAATATAAGTGCAGATGGGAGAGTGCACTGAATTGATTTCTTTCCCCGAGTACTTCTCGTCTTTGCATGTTCTCTCTTTTACATGCTGTACTCTTCTTTTAATGGCCCACTGCTTGACATTCTTCCGACTGTTCTTCAAACCTCCACTCAGAAGTTTCGTGTAGCCTCTGCCCACTCACCACAGTTAGTTGCACACACACCCTGCCACCCCCAGTTCTCCACTGCACTTCTTCAATCTATTTGTTGGTTTGCTTTGTTTTTTGGCAAACATACCACTTCTCTGTGATACTGGGAGACTCTCTTAACTCTTTCTGAGGCCCACTCACTTTCCTTGTCTCTCAGGATTGATGAATAATATATAAGGAGTCTGAGTGGGGTAGAGGGCTCTGCTGCTCATTGAAAATGGATGGGTTGAGCTCTCACCCAGGACCTCTGCACAGGAAAGACATGGTAGGCCACTTCTGTAGAGGTGACAGCCTAGGAAACTTTGAGGGACAGTTCCGTTCTGTGACACTTGAGGGGAACGTAACAGTACCCACATCTTGAGGACTGAATGAGTTAATACATTTGGAATGCATCGAGTCTGACAGATAACACTGCAGGAAGACAAGGACCGGGCTTTACTGTCCTTAGGATTAGACTAGTAACCATCATGAAGTAGGTTGCAGTACACATTTGCAGAGTGAAGTTGTGGGATTGATTCAGGCCCATGGCAGCTCTGTATGTGATAGATAACTGCTGTATCTATCTATCTATCTATCTATCTATCTATCTATCTATCTATCTATCTATATATCTGTATATCTATTTGTTATTGTTGTTGTTAGGTGCTGTCAAGTATGACTCATAGTGACCTTCTGAACATCAGATCTGAGTGCTGACCTATCCTGTGCCTTCCTCACCATCTCTGAAACACTTGAGCCCTTTGCTGCAGTCATCTGGTTGGAAGTCTTTCTCTCATGCACTAACTTGTCACCTTTCCAAGGAATAGCCTCCTTGCTTATTAATTTTCTTGTCATTTGACATAAATTTTTGACAACAGTAAAAAAAGTACCATTTTGCTCCTTATAATGGTGTACGTCTGTCAGTTATATACGCTTATGTACTAGGCCAGGGTAACACTGGCAGTGATAGTTAAGGTTAAGGCCAAGTTGGCTGGACCATAATTCGCAGTGTTTTGACAGTTATGCACTCACAGGTTGTTTTGCATAGTGACTTAGTCTTTGTAACCTCACCAATCAGGAAGGGACAAATGAGTGAAGTTGAAGACATACATAAGTGCAGCAGTATTGCAACAAAGTTCCAAATGAAGGCTGTGAAAAGCCTGCCTCACTGAAAAAACTAGGTTATTAAAATTAAAGACATAACTAATGGGAGAGAGATTTATAAAATCAAGTAACAGTCCTGATAATATGTCCATAGAAGGATGCTGTCATTTTGATGTTGAAGAAGGAGCACCAGAGGGGTAGCTTAAACATAAGTAGGTAGGTAGCTCAGATCTGATGTAGGAAAAAGCCTAAAAGTAAAAGGACCCAAGTGCATTCATTCATTTCTGTAGTATTTCATCATTTCTGTAGCTTCTGACTTAGCTTGTCAGGCTACCCTAGGATTGGTTAAGTCCACATCCTGGGTATCCTGTTGAGGTGGTATCTGAGAGCCTAGGGAAGTTGGAGAGAGAGCTGACTGGCAGGATAGAGGAGAAATATTGCTTAGAGTAGACCTGAGTTGTGCTGAAGAAGAGTCTTGAACATACTGTGGACTGCCAAGAAAACAAATAGATCTGTTTTGGAGAGGATGAAACTGTTTCTCCTTGGAAGCTTGGATTTTGAAGCTCTGTCTCACATACTTTTTTGCATGTGGCCACGAGGGACCAGTACTTAAAGAAAAAGGACTTCATGTTTGTAAGGGTGGAAGGGACAGTGCAGGAGAGGAAGACCCCAGATGAGATGGATTGATGGAGTAACTGGGGGAATAGGGATAGGGGTGTGTCAGAGCCAATGAGACTGGCTCAGACAGGTCAGGCTTCAGAGCTGTTATACACAGGGTCGCTATGAGTCCTGGGTGACCAGACGGCACATAACAACAACAACAACAGAAAGAGAACTGAGGTATGGATTCTTGAGTCATAATGAGGGTTAAGGGCTTGAAGAGGAAATGTCATGTATGAGCAGGAGATAGGAAGCCTGAATTTGAATAAGTGAGTTCATGAGAGGCTGATTTGCTTGAGAACTAGGAAGTCTAGTTCTTTTTTTTTTGTGTGTGTGTGTTTTCCTTTTTTAAAAATAATTCTTTTTAGTGAAAGTTTACAGAGACTTAGGGTTTCCAGTCATTCATTTTTGCATTTTTCTCCCTGCCCACCCCCTCCCCCCATTCACTCTTCCTTAAAAGGAAAACTCTTTCATTGATACGCAATCTGAAGTCTAGTTAGTTTTTTTCTTAAGTTATATAGGCCAGTACAAAGTTAGCATTTTAGAAATGTCTTTTGAGTGAATGAATCCATGAATGAGCTATACAGTTTTGAAGATAATAACATCTGTACTTTAGAGGATAGTAACTTTTTGAAGCCAAATTTCTCAGATTGGATTATTGCCACTCCCAGTTTATAGGAGAGTAGAGAATGAGTGTGAGGGAGGGCACGATGATCTTATGATTAATGCTGATCCTGGCTTAAAATTGGTCATTATAGTAAAAAAGGTGTTTTTATTTTTAAGCGCAAAACGGATGTGCATGTATGTATCTTTCTTGTACATGAGTTTTTTCTGTAGTCTTTCAAAAGTTTAAATTTTGCGCGCCTGGGCGCCTTGGAGCCCTGCCGTTGGGTCCCGCCCAGGGTCCGCGGCCCAGCGTGAGGCAAGATGATGAGGAATCTGGAGAACCGGGACTCTCAAACCAGGCAACTGCAAGATGCTGTCACGAATGTGGAGAAGCATTTTGGAGAGCTGTGCCAAATCTTTGCTGCGTAAGTGCGCAAAACTGCCAGACTGCGAGACAAAGCGGACCTGCTGGTGAATGAAATCAACTCGTATGCCTCGACAGAGACCCCCCCAATTAAGACAGGACTTGAAAAACTTTGCTGATGAGTTTGCCAAACTTCAGGATTATCGACAAGCAGAGGTTGAAAGACTTGAAGCCAAAGTAGTTGAACCTTTGAAAGCTTACGGAACCATTGTAAAAATGAAACGGGATGACCTCAAAGCCACATTAACAGCAAGGAATCGAGGAGCTAAGCAGTTAACCCAGTTAGAAAGGACACGTCAGCGAAACCCATCTGACCGACATGTTATTTCACAGGCTGAAACAGAATTACAGAGAGCTATAATGGATGCTACCCGAACAACACGTCACCTGGAGGAAACAATTGACAACTTTGAAAAACAGAAAATAAAAGACATAAAGAGTATATTTTCAGAATTTATCACTATTGAAATGTTATTTCACGGCAAAGCTTTAGAAGTCTACACTGCTGCCTTCCAAAATATACAAAAGATTGACGAGGAAGAAGATTTAGAGGATTTCCAAAACACAGTGTATCCACCAGATTATTCATCTCGTTTAGATATTGTAAGAGCAAATTCAAAGTCACCTCTTGAGAAATCTCTGTCAGCCAAGTGTGTACCTGGAACCGGACAGGTATCCTCCACCTACCGACTGAAAAAGGATCAACAAGTGGATGAGGAGGATGAGGATGAATTAGACATGACAGATGAAAATTAATTTCCAAGTATTCTTCACATTTCTACTTTCATTTTATAATGACTCAGAATCCAAGATTACTAAGTTATAAAACTTTATCCTAGCTTGATAACCTCAAAATTAAATGTTACTGCTGGAAATGTAAAAATAAAATTAAAGATGACCAAATATTAAGGTTTTAAAAAAATCCTACAGGTCAGTCATTTCCATTTACCTAGTGGTATCTTTTTGAGTGTGTGTTCCATTTTCTCCTAAAGAGAGTATATTTCACAGTATTCCATGTTAATAATGTAGTAAGGCTTGTTTTTAAATGAGTGTCAAAAACTGAAAGATAAATAGTTCCACCTGGCTTCTTTCAGGGTAAGATTGTGTCCTATCTGGTTAAATGCAAGGTTTTATACTGTGAAGCCTTAAATCTTAAAATGGAAAGCTTTCCTTTTAAGCTTGATTAAAACTTGATGTTTCATGTGCTATATAAATTTACCTTTAAACAATAGTGAGGTCAGAATTTTAAAAATCAAAGACTGGGATATCAATAGTTTACAAATATATATAAAGCTATTATTGCAACTTTTTAAAAGGGGATATTTAATTCTGGTTTTTGAAAAAAACAAACCTATCAAACTAAAATGTTACACACGTGATACAACTTTTAGAAAGTAGAGAGTACGCCACATTGGAATACTGCATAAGCAAGCATACATAAGATCATAAATCATTAACAGTTCTTTAAGAATTTTACCAAATGACCGTCTAATGTTAAAAAAAAAGGTCAGGGGGAGCTCTGGTGGCCTAGTGGCAAGAAGCTGCACTGCAATCCCAGAGGAACACGGTTCGAATCCACCAGATGCTCTGCTGGAGAAGGACGCGCAATATCTTCCTGTACCAGTCAGATCTGATTTGACGGTACAGGCACACAAAATAATAAAATTAAAAAAAAAAAAGGTCAACTATTCCTGTAAATATGGAAGTTTAAATCTTTCAGTATGAAGCTTTTGTTTCTTAGGGTGAGATTATAATTTTGATAATTCATACATTAGGCATATAAAAATTATAAAATTTATCAACATGTTTCAGAGAACTGTAAATAGAGATACTTTCTAGAAAGCTTTGTGACTGTCATTCATGGTTCTATTCTTAAAACATTCTGAAAACCAATGATATTTTTAAACTTTTAAAACATTTTAAAACCAAAAGTATTCTTAAGGAAAAAAAAAACCAAACAAAAGTTTAAATTTTGCCTTTTCTCATTTGTAGTTTCATGATTAAATGTGCATTTTCTTTGACATTTCTTTTAGGATGAAATTCTCAAAGCAGCGGTAATGAAATATGGGAAAAACCAGTGGTCTCGGATTGCTTCACTCCTTCATAGAAAATCAGCAAAACAGTGCAAAGCCAGATGGTATGTACCAGTTAATGAATGGAAAACAGAACATGACTTTAATTATGATGAATAAGAAAAAAAAATAACAGTTCTGTGAGCATTATCAAAGAAAGCAGTGGTTATGATAAAGCAGAAATTGTGGACAGTATTGGGAATTTTAATTTTAGACTATCACTTATTTCCCTTATGATCTTAGGGAAATAATTTTTTCTAAGTAATATTTTATCCTCTTTTTCTGCTCTTCTTCCAAGTGGGGATAATAATACTTGAGAGTGCTTTGAAAAATATTGCATCTCCACATTGCATCTCCTTTTAGGGCCTGAGTCCCAGCTTAGAAATAGATTGTTTCATAGTTTGTAAATTGATTGCTTAGAATTTATTTTCCTAGATGGATGGTTGATTCCCATAATGGTTGATTTTTATTTTTTGAGCTCTGGTGACCTAGTTTGGTAGGAAGTTATGCTGCCAACCCCACAGTAGGTGATAGGAATCTGCCATTTGCTCCTTGAGAGAAAGATGCGCAGTCTCCTCCCATCCAGTTTACAGCCTCTGAAAACTCATTGGAGGGTCAGCTATGAGTCTGTTCTGACTCAGTGGCCTTGAGAGTTGAGAATAGTTGAGTTCCCTCATGGAGTAGTTGAAATATTGTACATCTCATAAACATGAGCCAACACTACATCTTTACTTCCTCTTTTAAGTCACACAGCAGGAGGTACATGTGTTCTTGCTGTCAGTGATATGGCCAGTCTTAACTGTATGGTCCTAGGAGCATATTTTGGATTATAAGGAATGAGTTAATTTCTTGGGCACCTGCACATAGGAAAGGATCAAAATATAGAGATTGGAACCAAAAAGAGGAAGGTGGTACTCTACCAGAAGTAGTGTTAATTTTTACTTTTCTCATAGAGTTAAACTCTTTCCTAATTTTTGGTAGGATTATATCCTGATGCCAGTTCCTCATCCAGCTAAGTAGACTGGAAAGGAAAGATGTGTGGGTGAGGCATTAGGAAAGACAGAATGATATAGTAATTTTACTTTAAAAATATGCGATAAATACAAGAAAATCTTATATTTGCCTTAAAAAGTAGGAAAAGGATGCTTTGACCTTGTAACTCTTATAAAGAGTCTTAAGTTAAATGCTTAAAAAGTGAAGATGTTATGAGAATGACTCAGAGAATGACATAGTGCTATGAAAACCTGAAACACTAAAATAAATGATGTCTTATTTCCAAATAATTTAAAAATCTCTGATAAAGTATAAAATAAAATAATTATTGTTGAGGATGAAGGCATGGGCTCAAGTTTCAGTGAAGCTGCCTTTTTTGAAGTTGTGTTAATCTTGTTGTTGTTGTTGTTATGTGCTGTCGAGTCGCTTTCGACTCATAGCAACCCTGTGTACAACAGCCCTAAACCCTGCTCTATCCTGTGCCAATCGTGCTGCCTCTGACACACCCATCCCGATTACCCCAGTGTTAATCTTACATAATTGAAATACAGTAAAAATTTGGAGAGATAAGGATTACTTAGTAGAGGCATTTTAACCAGTGAATATTCTTTTGTAAAAAGAACAGCCCTCCTAATTGAGAAAATGAGTGTTAGTATTTGTTTTTTTTAACATCAGAAGTTAGTATATTCTAATATGTGAATAGGATTTGTGCTGGGTGATTGGTTAATGGATAAATTGATAACTTTTTAATAGGTATGAATGGCTGGATCCAAGCATTAAGAAAACAGAATGGTCGAGGGAAGAAGAAGAAAAACTCTTGCACTTGGCTAAGTTGATGCCAACTCAGTGGAGAACCATTGCGCCAATCATTGGAAGAACAGCTGCTCAGTGTTTGGAACACTATGAGTTTCTTCTGTAAGTGAATCCCAAAATCAGTATGAAAATATATATGCGTCATTTGAAGGAGACTGAATGAACCTTTAGTGTTGCATTTCTTTAAACATTTAATTACAGAGCTAAATAAAGGTGCTCACGTTATTGGATGATATACTCAGCTATATGGTGGTGATGTTGTTGAGTGGGTACCAATTCATAGCAACTATCTGTACAACAGAACAGGGCACTGTCCTCACAATCACTGCTGTGTTTCAGCTTGTTGTTACAGTTACTAGAGTGGTCTGGCTGGTTTAGGGCTTCCACTTTTATGATGACCCTTGGTTTACAAAGCACGATGTCCTCCTTCAGGGATGACGACACCTTGATAATATGTCCAGAGTAAAGGGCATGAAGTCTTGTCATCCTCATTTCTAAGGAGCCTTCTGGCTGTGCTTCATTAAGACAGATCTATTTGTTTTGATGGTTAATGGTATATTCACTGTTGTTTGCTAGTATTGTAGCACAACTTAATGTACTAAGTTTTCAGTCTTCCTTATATATTTTATCTTTCCCTTGCACGTGAAGCAATTGAAAATACTGTTTAGTCTTCTGTTAGGTACTTTATAAGAGACTAATGAAAGAAATGTATGCATATTTATCACAGAAAATCTGGGGCCAAGATAGTGAAAATGAAAATAAAAATTGAAGACATTCACATTGCTGAGAGTTAACTTGGAACATTTTGGTATTTTACTAAGAATGTAAACATTTGTTTGGCTTTACTGAATTTATGATTCAGGGACTACTAGGATCTGATTTCATAAGGAATGGAAAGAATAGTGAAACTAGGGAGAATTTTGATGCCATCTTCTCTCCGAGATGAAACAGTGGTAGGAATGCTTGATACCTGCCCTTGGTATTGGGTTTGGGGTGGTTTTTTTTTTTGTATTGGGTTTTTAAAGAGAAGAGTGACCTAGGAAACCTTGTTTTTATTAGACTAAATCATGTTATAGTATAACTTGACTCCTCTGGACTCTGTTTTCCTAGGGATAAAGCAGCCCAAAGAGACAATGAAGAGGAAACAACAGATGACCCACGAAAACTTAAACCTGGAGAAATAGATCCAAATCCAGAGACAAAACCAGCAAGGCCCGACCCAATTGATATGGATGAAGGTAATCGGGTGCTTGTGAGGGATATATTTCTGTGGTAATGTTAAACTTACCAGGCCTTTTTTAAAAAACTTTCTTAGTTTGTTTCTAAACCTCTCTTAAAAATCCTGATCTTGTCAGCAGCTATGATTCTAAGTCTTTTTCCAGGTATCCCTCTTTTCTTTTTTATTATGCAGTAGTTGATTATTTTTGACCAGTGCCTCTGTATAATCTGTTTTCTCAATTCATTTAATTAGTTAAGCTCTACTATTAGGGGTTTCCTTGTGGCTAGATGTTAGGCCTTAATCCCATATCCTAATTCCCATTTCACAGGTAAACAACAGGATATTGGATCCTAGTGTTCTCACTATCTCTTTAACTTTGGGCAGGTCATTTAATCTGTGAGAATGACAGTACCACAAGACTGTGATAGAAATTTTATGATGACTGTGAGGCACTGGATCAAGAATGAGAGGAACTGGATTTTAGAACCATGTCTGCCACTCATTAGCTATTTATCCTTAGACATCTTGTAGTCCTCTTTGATTTTTTCTCTACCTCCCAGAAGAAGGATAATATCTACTTTACCTCAGAAGGTTGTGACACACACTCAGTGTTTGTGGACTTTTTAAATATAAAAGTTTAAAGGTAGTGATTTCCAAATGTGGACTCTTGGCTAGCTTGTGCCAGTATGGTTGTGTCATGGGGTACATACAATTACTAGCCCTCTCCTGGAGATAAATGGGTCTGAAAGTCTGTAAGGCTATCCTTGAATTTGAATTCTTTAAAATAGTACTCATAATTTCAGCATCTCTTCAGCCTTGTATGAGAATTGGCCAGAGGTAACAGTAATTATGTTTATAATTCTACTCTAGAGAGCATGAGAAATATACTGCAGAAGACACATAGTTGTTTTTTTTTAATATTAATGAGCATTTACAGAGATTTTGGATTTCCATTCATTCATTGCTGCACTTCTCTCCCTGCCCAGCCCTCCCCCCCACCCCAGTTCACTCCTCTCTTTCAGAAGTAAAAGAAACACTCCTTCCCTGGTACACAGTCCCCCCGCACCCCTCCCACCGCCCCAAGTACATTCCACTATGCAACCTTAATTGTGGACTTTTGTGATAACTGTAATACCCTATCATACATCGCTTTTAAATTATTCACTCATCTGTTTCAGTGCAGTATACACAATTTATCCAGTTTTTCTGTCTTACCCCAACCCTGATATCAATCCCATTTTACAACAGTGGCACCATGCACCATGTCCTTTTGTGACTGAGATATTTCACTCAGCATAATGTCCTCCAGGCTCACCCATTTTGAATAATATGGCATAAGTTCCTTGTTTTTCAATGCAGCATAGTATTCCATTGTGTGAATATACCACACCTTCTCTATCCATTTGTTTGTTGATGGCCACCTGGGTTGTTTCCAACTCCTTGCTATTGTGAACAGAGCCACGATAAACATGGGTGTGCATATATCTGCTTGGGTGTCAGTTATGGTCTCTTTGGGATATATTCCCAGTAGTGGAATTGCTGGGTCAAATGATATCTCTATTTGCAACTTTTTGAGAAAGCGCCATACCGCCTTCCACAGTGGTTGCACCATTTTACACTCCCACCAACAGTGAATAAGGGTTCCAGTCTCTCCACAGCCTCGCCAGCATTTGTTGCTTTCTGTTCTGTTAAATTTTGCTATTCTGACTGGGGTGAGATGATATCTCATAGTTGTTTTGATTTGCATCTCTCTTAGAGCTAGGGATTCTGAACATTTCTTCATGTGCTTGTTGGCCATCTGAATGTCTTCTTTGGTGAAGTGTCTGTTCATATCCTGTGCCCATTTTTCTATTGGATTATTCACCTTTATCTTGTGGTGCTCAAGTATTTTATAAATTCTAGATATAAGTCCCTTATCTGACATGTCATTACCAAATACTTTTTCCCAAAAAGACACATAGTTTTGAGGAGAAAGATGTGTTTTAATGCATATTAACAATTCCCTCATAGCTAATTAGTAGTTATAGTATTTTGTAATTTCTATTGTACAATTTAATTGATGATAATGAAAGATCTTACAGCGTACTTGCCATGTACTTAATATGTATGTGTGTTATTGTTGTGTACTGTCGACTTGGAACTTACTCATAGTTTAACCTCCAGTGGGTTTTCAGAGGCAATTAATCACATGGGAGGAGATTGCCTGTCTTGCTTTCAAATATGTATTTATTTATTATCAGTATTTAAATTAAGATGTAATTTTACTTGGTTCTTCTCAGTAGCCCTATAAAGTAAGGATTGTTAATAACCATTTTGTAGCTGATGAGACATATACAGGGAGAGTAAATGAGTTACACAAGAGAGCATGACTAGCTCTCTTTTGAGAGAGCTATCCTAGAGTAGGTGCTTGTGGTGAGAGTATAACTGGTCTGGGACAGTAAAAGAAACTTAAGTTCTATCCAGTCGCAGCCACCTTTCTATTCT